CTATCCACCGAGCCAAACCGGTTTCGGCCATAGGTGAATTCTTATATTAGCTTGTTGTTTATATGAGTTACTTTGTGGTTAAACACTTATCTTTCTCCTCTATCTCTTCCTGCTCCTTCTTCTCTTCCTCCTCACCGCCCATCCCAACTCTCTATATTCCTCTCATCTTCCTTCTCCTCCCCTTCCTTCTTAATGCTTTTGGACTGAAGAGTAGGAAGGGTTTCTTATAAAGAAAAGACTCAAACTGGCTAGTGAATCTAAATGTATTGGGACTTTAGGATAGGATTCAAGTGCCTCCGGGTTTACGTATTAGGCAAACTTAAGAAAATAATGGCCTTCTCTTGAGCTGTGAGGTTCCCAGTCTGACAGAGGATTTGCAAATTCCTTCTATTTGTCCAGTTAAATATTCCTCTGGGCTACGTTGCCAAAGCTTTTTGGCATAACCATTGTGTTTCTATTATGTGGAAAGTTCTACTACTTTGATAGTTCCATTTAAATAGCACAATGTTGTGTTTTATAATCAGGATTGGCTACTTCATCACCATGATCCCAGCTTATAATTTAATCACTCCATAGTTCTATATTGCAAATGGCAAGGCTTATGAGGGAAATCCTAGCAAAACAAACAAAAAAGGGTGGCTTTTGAGAAATCTGCCCATGCCTTGTCACATGGAGAGTGTACTGAACTTTGAGCAAACGGCCTGTTGAACAATGAACTGTGCTCAACACATTGTGTACTACGACAACTTCTCGGGAAACTCATTTATTTAGTGGGCAACAAAGAAACTGATTTCTGCAGGCTGTGAAAATTTGGTAGTATATTAGTAGAATAATAGGGAGAAACTAGTCTGAATGTCAGGAAAATTGGGATCTAATTTAGACTTTATCACTAACTAGCTAGCTGGCAAATCATATCCTCTCTTTGGTGTGTAGCATATTGTTTACACGCTTGAAGGACCAGCCTACTTCTCAGACCCTTTCTAGGTCTATAATTGGGGAATCTTGAGGGGAGACCTACATACATCAGTGGAGCGTTAGTTTTCAGAAGGCACATGAAGTCACCCAGTAGGGTGCAGCCTAATGAGAGTCAGTAGTGCCCTGGAAGAATTGTCAACATAAAAAAGAGCAAAACAGAATTCTCATGCAGGAAAGCCTCAGAATTCCAGTTGTCAACAAGCTTATTTTTCTGACCAGGCTTAAGTCCCTTCAAGGGAAGGAACAAATCAGACTTGTTTCTTGTTTCCAAAGAGCCATTATTGCTTGATACATGAAGCTGCTCCATGAGTGTTAGTGGAGGAAGTTTGAATGAAACGCTTAAAAAGCGAAAATATATTACATGTCACCCAGAAACAAGGTTCTAAGAAGCAAATGAATAAATAAATAAACAAATAAATAAATATTGCTTGGAATATTTAAACTCTTTTTGTAACCAAACCCAGATTTGGCTGCCTTTGCAATGAGAGCCAAACTTATGAGACAGGTGCTGGTGAAAAAGGAAAGGGGTTTATTTGAGTGCTGGCATCTTGAGAAGATGGGGGACTTTCTTCAGTCCTCAAAAAACCATCTGGAGATCTCAGTGCTGACGGAGGTTTTTATAAGGACGGACAGGGGCTATACAACAATTAGATCAGGTGGAGGGGAATGAGAAGTGCTGCTTCTCCTAAGAAGGGGGAGCATGAGAAAGGGAGTGGGCTTCCTCCCCTATTCTCAGAGTTCTCTCTCTTCAAACAGGAATTTGTAGATTTACTGAGGACACCTGTGGCCCCCAGCTGTAGTTCTCTAAGCTGTAAGAAAGGCTAAATAGGGAATGAAAACACAGGGCTCCAGTGGTTCTCAACCTTCCTAATGCTGCGATCCTTTAATACAGTTCCTCATGTTGTGATGACCCCCAACCATAAAATTATTTTTATTGCTACTTCACAACTGTAATGTTGCTACTGTTATGAATTGTAATGTAAATATCTGATATGCAGGATGTATTTTCATTGTTCGCGACCCACAG